ACTTGGTCATTCAGGAATATGTTTAGTCTCCATGTATTAGTACAGTTTTGAGAGTTTCTCTTGATATTGATTTCCATTTTTATTCCATTGTGTTCAAAGAAGTTACTTGATATAGTTTCAGTTTTTTAAAATTTGTTGAGTCTTGTTTTGTAGCCTAACACAGTCAATCCTGGAGAATGTTTCACATGCTGAAGGGAAGAATGTGTATTCTGCATCTATTGGCTGAAATGTCTACAAATGTCTGTAAGTTCCATTTGGTCTATAGTGCAGTTTAAACCCAATGTTTCTTTGTATATTTTCTGTATAAATGATCTGTCCAATACTGAGAGTGCGGTGTTGAAGTCCCCAACTATTGTATTGGGTCTGTGTCTCTCTTTAGATCTAATAATATTTGCTTTATACATCTGGGTGCTCCAATGTTGGGTGCATATATATTTATAATTGCTATGTTCTCTTGCTGAATCAACCCTTTGAACATTATATAATGACCTTCTTTGTCTCTTCTTACAGTTTTTGGCTTAAATTTTATTTTATCTGATGTAAATATAGCTATTCCTGCTTTCTTTTAGTTTCCATTCACATGGAATATATTTTTCCATCCCTTCACTTTCATTCTACATGTGTCTTTACAGGTGAAGTGAGTTTCTTGAAGACAGAATGTAGGTGAATTTTTTTTTTAATTCATTCAGCCAGTCTATATCTTTTATTTGGGAGATTTAGTCCATTTACATTCAAGCTTATTTATAAGTGAGGACTTACTCTTGCCATTTTGTTGATAGTTTTCTGGTTGTTTTGTATATTTTCTCTTCCTTTCTTCCTCTTATTGTTAATCATTGCAATTTGGTGTTTTTCTGTAGTGATGAGGTTTGATTCCTTTTTCTTTCCTGTTTGTGTACCTGCTTTAAAAGTGAATTTTTTCTTTAGCATGTTTTATTGATAGTTATCTTCCTTTTGCTTTCAGATATAGGACTCCTTTGAGCATTTCTTGTAAATCTGGTCTAGAGATGATAAATTCCCTCAGTTTTGCTTGGCTGTGAAAGATTGTATTTCTCCTTCATTCCTGAAGGATGGCTTTGCTGGGTATAGTATTCTTGGGTGGCAACTTTTTTCAGCACCTTGAATATATCCTCCCATTGTCTGCTGGCTTGTAAGGTTTCTGCTGAGAAACTGGCTGTTAGCCTAATGGGGATTCCCTTATAAGTGACCTGATACTTTTCTCTTGCTATTTTTATTATTGGTGCTAGCCAGTACCAGGATCTGAACTCTTGACCTTTGTGTTATCAGTACCATGCTCTAATCAAGTGAGCTAACTAGCCAGCCTAAATAGGTCTTTGATGCCTTTTTTCTTCTGTTCTTCTTTGGGAACATCCATAATTCAAATATTTGTTCACTTAATGGTGTACAATAGTTCCTGTAGGCTTTCTTCACTTCTTAAAATTCATATTTCTTTTTTCTTGATTGGGTAATTTTAAATGATCTGTATTTGAGTTCAGAGATTCTTCTGCTTGCTTAGTCTTCTGTTGAAGCTCTGTGTTGTATTTTTTCATTTATTGAAGTCTTCAGCTGCAGGATTTCTGTTTGATTCTTTATTATGATATCTATTTCTTTGTTAAATTTCTTACTCATATCACAAATTGTTTTCCTGATTTCATTTAATTCTCTATATTCTCTTGCATCTCATTTAGTTTTCTCAAGATCATTTATTTTGAATTCCTTTTCCAGAAATTCATTGATTTTCTTTTCTTTGGGGTCACTGGCATGTTATTGTGTTCCTTTCGGTAGTGTCCTATTTCATTGCTTTTTTATGTTTCTTGAATCTCTGTGTTGATGTCCGTACACCTGGTGAAATAATTGCTTCTTCCAAACTTTACAAAGTGGCTTTTATAGGCAGAGTCTTTACCTGCAGTTGGGTCTCAGTGTGCTGGTTGAAAAGGCTGTGGTGGTTCTGTTTCCATGTAGATGTTAGTGGTTTAGTCTCTGGGCAGGTTCTTCAGCTGCAGTCAGTGTCACCCACTAACTGTGGGTGTCTCAGTGCCTTAGGCTGTAGAAGTTTGTGACAGTGGTGGTGGCATACGTTGTTAAGGTCTTTGGTGGCAAGGGCTTTTGTGGTCCTCCTATTCTCATTTTTCCCACAAAGGGGCAACTTTGTCAAGGGGATTGATTCCTGTTGGTGTTTGGTCTGCCCCAACCTACAAGCAGCTGCGGTGGTGTTAGTTTCTAGGTGCAGGTCCTTGGAGAGGCTGTAGAGTTGAGATCCTGGGCTCAGGTCTTGTAAACCTTTTGTAGCACCTAGGTCTTGGGGATCAGGTTCACTGTCTGTGGAAGAGTTGGATGTCAGTTGTCCACAGTGCCAGGATCTGTTGCTCTGATGCCCCTGTGGCAACCTGGGCTCTGTGGGTTTGGTTATAGCTGTGACTCTGATTCTGGGCATCTGTGTACAACACTGGCCCAATTCTGTGAGAGAAGGGGTGCTCTAGAGGTTTGGGCCCAGGGAACAGAGTGCAACTGCAGTTCAGGAACCAGAGCAAATGGGGCTCAGCTGTCACTTAGTTACAAAAGAATGAGGCACCTTGTAGTGGTAATTCTAGCCCCTGGAACAGTGGGACTCAGCAATGTCTCAGTCTCTGTGATGCAAGGTGCAGCTGCAACAGGAACCCAGAAAGTCAGGGTGCAGCTATTGTTTGGGCCTTGGAGGGCAGGGAGCAAGCAGCACAATGAGCCTTCACTCCCCAGGGGAAGGGGTGTGTCAGCAGCTTAGTCTCTAGAGGAATAGTCCAGCTCCAGGGAAGCAGAGTACTAGAGTTGTTTGGCCCCTGGGGCAGGATGTCTCTCTTTTCCTGGGATGTGAGGTACTATGTCAGCTCACCCCTTGGACACATAGCTGTTCAGCTCAGCCAAGCAGCTTCTCCACCAAGCAGATTCTTGGCCAAAACAGCTATTCCCCAGGTTGTAATGCACTACTTCAGCTCAGTCCTGAGAAGGGGGGCAGGGCACAGTCATGACTGGGAGGGGTAAAGATTGCCCCAGAGGGAGCATGCAGCTTTGCAGCTTCAGTTCCAGCCTAAGGGGGATGGGCAGTGCTACAACTGGGAGGGATGGGTGGAACAATTCCACCACTACCTAATCCCTCAGGGTAGGGTGTAACACCTGTTCTCGGCTCAGCTTGGGGAAGTCAGTTCAATAGTGGCTGAGTCTCTGGGGACGAAGAGTATCACGAATCACAGGGTAAGATACCCTCTAGCAGCAGTTCCAGTTCCAAGATGGTGCAGTAGGGCATGAGCCATAGAGGGCAGGGCACAATGTCAGCTCCTCTGGGGGTGGAGGGGGGAGGTGCACAACTGTGTGGGCTCCAGGTGAAAAAGTGAGCCAAGATGCCAGGTACCATTCAAGCTTTATTAAAGAAAGAAATCTGCTGGGCTGTGCTCAGAGTGGCAGGCAGCCCAGGGCTGCCCTGAAAAGGAGACAGCACCAGGTGTTGGGGTGGTAGAGCTTATATAGCGCGCTAAGGGCTGGCTGATACCATTAAGGAAAGTCCTTATGCTAATGTGGTTCAGGGTGGAGAACTGCATCCTTGCTGAAGCAAAAGGGGTTTCTGTTTAAGTAAGAAGGCTTCTTGTAAAGGGAAGGGGGAGCGGAGGGGAGGAGGTGGGTGGTGCCATTTTGTACTTGGGCTGGTCTACAGTGGCCCTGGTTATGTTGCACATCTATTACCAGGCAGCTCCGTCAGCTGGACCTAGTGCCCGTGAGGACTGTAGGAGTCCCCAGTGATGAGGATGGTAGGTGTCCACAGAGTTGATGAGGGCTGCTGGGATCCTTTTGCTTACCTTTTTCCTTGCAGGCAGAAGTTCCTCCTGGGTACCTGTTGCTCTTGGCTGGGGGATGGGGTGGTGGAGGCCAGGTGTTTTCTCCCAGCATCTATGTGGCTGTTCTGAGTTTCTGTGTTCCTTCTGTTTCTGTTACTCCTTCATATTTTTTTGTTTTTGCTTCACAATTTTTGCTTTTAAGTTTGCTTTTGCTTTACAATTTTTGCCTGTGAGCTTCCCTCTAGTAACAGTATCTGCTGTACTGGCCCCACATGTGCCCTAGATGCAAGTAGCAACCCTAAGGACCAGTTTTTTGGTTGCCTCCATCAGGGTTAGGGTTAGGGTTAGGGTTAGGGTTCTAAACCAATTTTCACATTCCTTTCTAGGTTTGAGGATTTCTGCACTAGGTTCATGGTGTGTAACTTTTCCTATGCTACTCTGTAGGGCAGATTACTGATTGTTTCTACTGCTAACAACCAATCCTTGTCCTGGTGGTAGTCAAGGTGTTTTTGTGATGAGACAAAACTTTTCATACTCCTTTACCCTCACACAAACCTCTATAGCCTTGATTTGTCATGTATGCTAAAATTCTGTTTTCTTTCAACACCTTAATTCCCCCTTGAATTCTAAACACTTATTTGGTTTTCCTCTTTGGACCATCACTGGGAATTTCACCTGTGTTACTTTTTGATTGACCGTGTTTAAAATGTTCATGGATTTTTGTTTTTTGGTTTTTTTAAAGATGATCGGTAAGGGGATCTTAACCCTTGGCTTGGTGTTGTCAGCACCACACTCAGCCAGTGAACTAACTGGCCATTCCTATGTAGGATCCAAACCTGCAGCCTTGGTGTTATCAGCACCGCACTCTCCCAAGTGAGCCATGGGCCGGCCCAAAATGTTCATGCTTTAACTAGGTCTCCTACGTGTTTGGAAGAGGAGGGGTAGGTTTTCATTTGTCTGCCATCTTTATCAGTAGTTGTTTTAAGGTTGCTAAAAAGTTTAGGGTGTAACACAGATGTTCCTCGACTTACGATGTAATTATGTCCCAATAAACGCATCATCTTAAGTAGAAAATGCATGTCCTACCCTGATAAACCCATAGTAAAGTCTAAAAATTGTAAGTTGAACCAATGTAAGTCAGGGACTCTCTGTATAATCATATTTGCCTATTTAGAGAGCAATTACAAAGCCATCATAGACAGGATAGGCGTCAACTGCCTCATTTAATTATGAGAATTTGTCATTCAAAATAGAAACCTCAGCAGAAACAAAAATTTTATTGCACATCTTTCATGTACTTAGCACAGTCTTGAATAGTGAGGGTAAAAAACAATTCAAGTAACTTTTAGTTCAATTGGAGAGTAAACAAAAACATTAAATACCAAACACAATATAAGTAGTTGCTCCCTTATGACCTTAGCAGATACATATTTTTAAAAATTTAATGTTATATGGCTGGGAATTGTTAAAATGGAAAATCCACAGTAAATGTTGTGGGTGGTGGGGAGAGGCCATTTCAGTATGGAGGAGATGGGTTTGTGATAGGCCTTTAAGAGGTGAGTAGGATTTGAGCAGACAGGGCATAATATCTGGACTATTCTGGAAAGAGCATCTGCTAATAAAGTAGCAGAAAACTGGAGACCCATTTATCTCTCAAAGGCAAATTAAGGGGTGGGCTTTGACCTTATAGAAAATAGGATATCATAGAATTTATAAGTAAAGAAAAGCTTGACAAAATATTGCCGTTCTTCAGAAAAGTGGCAGTGAAGGCAGTGGTATGGACAGGAAGCTGATGGCAGGGACACTGCCTGAGTGGGTAAGAGAATATAACCTTGACAACAGCTCTATGAACATCAGAGGAGAGAAGTCTGTTTGGTCTTATAAAGGTGGAAAGGCAAAAGAGGTACTTGTTTAAATTTTGTTTTTAACATGTTATTTAGGTAAACCAGCCATCTCAGAAAAGTAGGGCAGAATTCTTGTCTGAGATACAGAAAGCTCCCTTTTCTCTCTGGAAGTAACAGTCTTCAGCAGTCTCCAGTGCTCTGCCATGAGAGTTCAGATGTACACCTGGGTTTGTAACTTGGTTTGCATTTTCCTATGGAAATAATGCCACATGCTAGAGTTTGATGCTTAGACCCAAGGTTTTTAAGTATATATTATAACATTGTTGCCATTAGGAAAATACATTTTAGCTCCAAATCAGATACAGGAACAAACCTCTAGGCATTCAAGTACCACAGGTGGCAGCCAGAAGGACTTTGGCAGTATTAATTCTTGGCAGTTTGGGATTGGTTTTCTTTTTATAAAAAGTGCCCTCCGTTGGTCAGTCACTGCCCAGGAATACTGGTAGCTGTTCCAGGAACAGATCTCCCCCCACCCACTAAAGTCAGGGACAGGACACCTTCTGGTGCACACATTAAGGCACATCCTAAATCAGTTGGTATATAATTACCTAACAAAAGTGAAAAAATCACCACTGAGATTTTGATAACTTACTAGGCACAAATACCCCATTTCTTTCTGGATCTGAACAATAAAATCCAACGAAGAGAAAGTAGTTCTTGCCTTTACATAACTGCCTGTTTCTAATACTATCCAGTCATGCAGTTAAATTTCACACAAAAATGTATGTGTAGATTTTCATCAAATGGCTATTCTGATATAAATGTGAAATTATACATATATACATTTTAACATAAAGGTGATGATAGCACTCATCATCAGCTTCTGGGCTGTCCATCTGGAGTCAGCTCATACCTGTAAGACAGTTGGGTTTGGACTTACATTAGTAATGTGTGTGTGTCATGACAGTAACAGGACAAACTGCCTGGTCCCGCCTGCCTGGGACTCTGCAGGACCGGCAGAACCCATCTCTCCGTCAGTTGGCCAGCCAGGGTTAAGGCTAGAGTTTACACAGTTCCTTTAGGTAAGAGATATGCAGACAGTAAAGCCTGAAATAAAGGTGTTAGTCTGTCTCCCTTCTGATAACCAGAAAAGATGAAATAGTACTGAAAAGGGAGAAACGTTGAATAGAGAATACGGACAGCTGTCTAAAAAAATGTCTTGAATAGCAGATTAACAGTGATAAAATGAAAGGGCACACTTACCATTGTGAAAAGCCCTTAATCAGGTCTTCTTTTGATAAGTCAATCAGAACCTAAACAATCACAAATAATTAGTTCCCCTCCAAAACAGTACATTAAATGAAAACACATTGGGATAAACGGAGTTGATCATAAAAGGTCTCCCTGGGTTTCAGAGTTTTGAGCAGGGGCTCTTTTTCCTTTGGTTTTCAACATGGAGCCTCTTCAGAGAGACAGGGCTGACACTGACCGCACTGTCTTTGGAAAAGGCGAATTGCTGTTTGGAGTTGAACTTCAGGAATTTTTGGTAATTTGATTTTTTTCAAGTTTGCTTATGAATGTTACAGAAAAAGAACTTGCCTCATCTGTAAAAATGGGGATAACACCACCTACTTCATAGAAGTGGACTTTAAAAAGATGAGTATAAGAAGGTGTTTATTAAAATATTACAACTATAAGGTATTGTACAAATACCATTTTTACTTCTCTCTCCTTGGCATCTTCCTGGGGATTATATTTCCTCCACTTCTACTTTAGGTAAGTTCCTGTCACCACAAAAATCTTGACATAATACAGCTTCATACAATTCTGTATTTATCAAAACAGTACTTAATACCATAGAAGATGTTCAAATACTTGTGTAAGGATAAATTTGGATAGATTCTCAAGTTTGTTAAAATAGGTTTTATCATATTAATTTATACTCTATATTCTTTAGTTTCAAGAATAAAAAACAAACAAAAAAGAAACGCCTCCAAATGAGGCTATATGCTCTTTGAAGTCAATTCTGGTAATAGCCAGAACAATTCCATCAGAATTTCTGCAAGGATGTGTTCCACCAGTGAATTCCATTAGAGTACTTGGAAGGACAGAGTGCCAAGAGTCCCTCTTGTACTTACTTTTCCTAACTCCTTTCTTCTGTGTGAGCCAAGTGGCCTACTATTTTTCACTGCAACATCTAGTGACCGCTTCTTTACTTCTTCCATGGGAACAAAAAATTCAAATCTTTAAGAAGCAAAAAGTCAGGAAGTGAGATTTACATATTTCATTCACTTTTGTTGAGAATCTGAAGTGTTTCACCCATTTCCCTACCCATACAGAAGATACAGACTAGACTATTAAGAGTATCTAGAACAGTACTGGCTCGTAGGTATTCAGTGTGTCATAATTATAGATAATCACTGTCCACAAACCCTACAAGTGTCAACTCTGAACAGTTCCTGCTCACAGGACCACCTCAGCCCCTTCTCAGTTGGCGGGGGTGGGTGGGTGTGGCATGGGGATCTGAACCTATGGCCTTGGTGTAAGGCTGCACTCTAACCAACTGAGCTAATCAGCCAGCCTTAGTTGGGTTTTTTTGATGAGCTAAGGGCTTGGATGCTGAACAGTTAGGTTCACTGGAGCTGCGTGGAAAATATTTGCCACCTCCTGTGGAGTAAGGCAGAGGAATCTTTGTGTACAAGCTTTGTCATGTACTCATAAGAGGACCCTGGACCCATTACTTCTAGGTTTATTTTTAGGGTAGGAGTTGCCAAGTCTGCCCTCCAGATAACACACTTATCTTGCTGTTAAAATGTGTGAGAGAATTACTAACAGATTAGATTTGTTACAGAAGTCAAATGTTAAACCTCTCCCTCCTATGTTCCCACATAGAAATTTTGACATCCTTTTATAATTGTTCAGAGCTGTCTTTGAGTCTCTTACCTGTGTGACTCTAGAATATAGGATGGTGCCTGGCATAAAGTGTTCAGTAAATGTGCAGTGAGTACATTCTGTCTTCCCCACACCCTTTCTTGATATTCATGAACTCAAAGCAGAGCTCTTGAAGGAACATACTAGTTCTTAGATATGGCCCAAAGAGGATTCAGTACAACCCTTTGAAAATGAGAAGTTATTGACCCAGGATAAGA